GAAAGTGGAAAATAACAAGTGCCCATTTAGGTTTGAAGAATCCAGAATGTTTTAGCTTTGACTTTACGAGTTATAGAAGCTTTGCTTTGCCCTAGGTTTCATGTTCCCAAATGAGCCATATGTCAGTATATTCACTTAATTCTTACTAATTTCAGTTTCCTGTAAAGGAAACAACTTATACATTGATGCTTAAATCCAGAAAGTGTAAAAGGTTTTCCTAAACTGTTAAAATATAGTGTCTGATATAAAGGATGTAAGTTACTCAGCTTTCTGCTTCCTAAGCCAATCAGTGTTTGTCTTCAGTGTGAAATTTAACTGTAAAAACTACTTGTAATGTCAAGAGATTATAGTACATATTGTTAATAAAATGGACCTGGGTCTAAGATTTTTTTTTTCTTCACAGGGAGTGTGAAGCTGTTTATTCTTCTGTTTGCATATGGGTTTTTCTTTTAACTTTAGTTTTCGCGTTCATATTTCCACTGATTTGAAACACTAAATTAATTCTGATAATTTTGTTGCTTGTAGCATAATCAAGTGCAACCTACTTTTGACTAAATCCCTTTGGATTTATAGCTGAGGATATTGTTAGCTAGGTTTTGTCAATCCCTAATCTTTTTTTTTTTAAAGCAATGCTATATTTTCAGGAGGCACTGAGACTCCTGTGAACCTGAAGCATTCCCTTTTGAACTTTGGAAGATCCTCAAAGAGTGAGCACTCTTTTGCTCTTCTAATCACAATTACTTCCTTAACAAATCAGAGTAAGGACAACTGATATATAGAACACTCAAGCCAAAGAATCGTCACAGAAATTAGTAACTTTAGTTCTGTGAACATGAAAAGATTTCTTTTTTGGTTTCCAAAGGAGATTATTTTTCCAGAAGGAAAAACATGTACAGAGACTCTGAATTCCAACTCTGAGTGAGAAAGAAAAGGAAAAAAATCTGTTTTATGGTGGATTTCTAAGCAACATACATACATGTTTTTAAGACAATCTATTGTTGGCTGTGTTTTTCCTGAACACCACAAGCACCCTAGGAAACATGTTTTTCCTTTAAAATAATCTTGTTCACATATCAGAAAAGGACATGAAATGCTCATACTGGCATACAAGTTTCTATAAATAGTTATTTTTTGAGCTACTTATACTGTATCCCTAAAAGCTCATAGTGCCTTGTTGGGATTTTTTTTTTTTTCCATGAAATAGCCATTATTTTAAATGAGTGGGAGAGGATAAGTCTTTAGACAGAGGTCATTCAGCAGTTCAAGGCTATTCCTCTTCAAGAACATGTCAGGAATTAAGTAGTTGTATGTGGAAACACTGGTAATTCTTTCCACAGTGTTGTTTTGGATAATCTCTTCTAGTATATTTAACTAATTGTATGGTAGACCTATACTCTGATACACATCTAATCAGTCAATGGGATTTGTATGTGCTTTTCATTCCGACATTTTCATTCTACTGACCCAACCTAGTAGCCCTAAGTTGTGGTTTGATGGATGTGGCATTGAGCCTCAAGACACTCACTACATTCTTTTTGGATGTTTGCTCACAAGCTCCCTGAGGAGCAGAACCTGTAGAGGTGGCAGGGGGCAGGTGGTTTTTATTCCTAATATTGTGTGTTCTTTTTCGTGTGATGGTGCCTTCAGAATAACAAATATTTCTGTTCCTGGACAATGACTAAATCTTATGAGAAATATATGTAGGTTATATTAATTTTTGTCCTTTTTGCTAAGTCCTTTTTTGAAATACTTTGGCTCTGATACAACTTGACTTGAATAATATCTTATCCTGAGTCTTCCTCCAAGGCAGTACATATTCCTGCCAGCACTGTAGTAATCCTTTGGGAACTACATGTGGGTAAGCACTTGTATGTAAGCCATTATATTGCTGTAACTAATGCATACAAACAGTTCTTCTCTTTACATTCATAGTCTAAAAGGGGATATGAAGTGGGAAGGAAAATTCCTGAGAGATTCCAGCATAGCTTTGTCAATTCCGACTGAGCCATACTGTTTTCCACAAGGGCTCAACACATAGTCAATATTCCATGCCTTCAGTGTATGTTCAGATTCTCCTCTTACTGGTTTTCTTAGACTGTACTGTTCTATAAGCAAATGCCCATGTGTGATTTTTAAGATGTGCTGGGGAAAAATAAAACAATACCACAACCATGCATTGTTATAGAAATTGTTATTTATTTCACGTTGGTTCTATTTAATCTTTGTTTCCAGCATGCTATACTCGGCAAAACAAACAGGATACACTTTGTATATCCTTGAGTACTCTTTCTGGTAGTGGAGCATGTGCACAAATACTGATTACACCCTGCCTGTGGCTCCCACACTGAAAGCAAGGTTGTAGCTGTCTGGGCTCTGAAATGACTGAAGGTCAGACCTGTTGAACTCTGTCTTACATAGTTCATTTTAATAATCACTAGCCACACTAAGATTTTAGCTCTCCTACCATGTAGTTAGGAAAAGCAGTTTTCTACCAGGCCTATGTAAGTTCATCCCAACTTATTTCTATTTCATCCCATCTGAACATAATCACTACCTAACATTGCCCAGGCCACAAACAGATAAGCAGTCGTCCTGAACATTTGTTGTGAACAAATACAAGTTCATTGCCTTTCCAGGAAGCCTCTGGAAGGCTTTTCCAACTCCATAATCTTCAGGTATTAGGAAGTTTTTTTTTCTTTTTTTAAGACTGATATTTGTGTTCCTCTTCTACCCATTATACAAATTCTGCCACCTTTAGTCAAAGAATTGTCCAATTGCTCTGTTGAAGGGCTGCTCTTAGGTATTTAAAGTCAGGTCTCATGTTCCTCAACACCTTCTGTCAACGTTTGCTCTTGTCATTTCTAGACTTCCACCTTCCTAATCCTCCCCACATGTGCCCATTTGATGTTTTTAAAGTGAGGTGTCTATGCCTGAAAACTAATCTTCCAGAGTAGTACCAGTGCTTCCTCTAGTGACTAATAAAAAAGCATTTTTGGTGGGCATTGCTCTGTCAGCTCATACTAACTATATGTCATTTACCAAAGGTTGTTTTCCTGTAACAATTTGTACTTCCTCCAAGGCAGTACACATTACTACAGTGCTGGCAGGAATATGTACTGCCTTGGAGGAAGCTGCATCTCCTTGGAGGCTGATTTTTTAAAGGCCCATTACTTATATTTAGCATTACTAAAATTTGTATCTTAGTAGAGTTAGTTCCATATTTTCAAAATGTTTGGATCGTGACTCTTACCTAGAATATTTTCTGTGCCATCAAGCTTCAGGTCATCAGTAAATTGAGACAAATACTGTCTGGATTCTCATCCAAGTAATGACAGATAACTGGTACAGTACAAAAGCTTGCCTGACCCTGACATTTCATCCCTGAAAGAGCTTACAGGATTCAGACAGCCACACTTTCACTTGGCATATGTTGTCTACCTTATATTTTTACATTTTGGCCCCAAATATGCTTTTTCAATTAATCCACATTTATGCCAGATAAACAAGTAATCATGTTTACTTAACATTTTCTCCTGCCCCACTGAAATCCTGATAAAGTTACTTCTGCAGTTTCCTGTGCTACCCTATAAGAAAAATAAATTAGGGCCGGGCATGGTGGTTCATGCCTGTAATCCCAGCATTTTGGGAGGCCAAGGTCAGTGGATCACGAGGTCAGGAGTTTGAGGCCAGCCTGGCAAAGATGGTGAAACCCCATCTCTACTAAAAATACAAAAGTTAGCCAGGCGTGGTGGCACATGCCTGTAATCCCAGCTACCAGGGAAGCTGAGGCAGGAGAATTACTTGAACCCAGAAGGCAGAGGTTGCAGTGAGCCGCGATCTGGAGTGCCATACCACTGCACTCCAGCCTGGGCAACAAGCAAGACTCCATCTCAAAAAAAAAAAAAAAGAAAAAGAAATGAGACCTTCCTGCCATCACATTTTCTTTTGCCTGTGTTTGGCCTCAGGGGCATGTCTCTCTTTTTAAAAGGATCAAACTCATTTTCTGATGTGGTCTATTGATTGGGCCAGGTATAGCTTAATTAGGACAAGCTCTGAAATCCACCCTTGCATAGTTCTGCCACGTCCTTCGTACCTCATTGTGCTAACATTAGATCAGTGAAGCTGCTCTGTTTTAAAAATGGCAGAATTTTACCACTGTAAAGTAACTTAGAAGAAGATAGGGTTCTAAATATAAGAACACAGTGGATAAGGTTTTATTCAGGACATTTTGGGTGTGATTCATTTTTCTCTACAAACTACAAGTCACTTTCCCTATTTGGACCTAATTTCTTCTTTTATAAAATGAAAATCTCTGAGGTACCTTTCAACATAGTCTCACTGATTCTAATGAGTCTGTTTTTTTGCTGAACACTATATTATTAATTTTTAAATTCACCCTTTTTTGCCAGACAGGCAAGAAGGTAGTATTGTTATCACAACTCTATGAAGTAAGTGGTATCATCCCCCTTTTACTCAAAAAACCTGAAATTTAGTTAGGTTAAGAAGCACCCACCATTGGTAGCTGGGAAGTGGCATTGCAGGACTGTAAAGCCAGGTAGCTAACTCCAGTTCCTGTGTGCTGGCTGCTTCACTGCTGTACGCTACTTGTGCTGGATGACTATGATGTACACAGCATTTCTTTTTAAAGTAGATTATTAGTTATTGTCCTCTACAGAAGGGCACAAGTAAAGAAATGGAGTCTCTTCCTACTACAGAGCAGAAGCTGCTATCTTTGTGACCACATGCCATAGAATACCAGAAAGGTTTTTTCTCAGATACTGTCTTGCTGTGTAAATGTTTAACCCACAGTATCCTGCACTGATAAGTTTGTGGGTTTAGTATGAAACTCATAAAGGGAAGTTCTGTATCAGATGGAGTTAATAAATTTGCATTTTTATAACTTTAAAATTGTACTCTTTGAGCTGCACTTTAAAATATAAGACAACCTATTTCTATAAGTTATACATCTTCCATTGAGAGACTGGAAATTCAAAGAACTGTTTGAGATTAAATAAATGTTTTATTATAATCTAGAGACAACAATCTGGGTTCATTGGAAAGTCACAATTTCTTAAAAGTACTAATTTAAAAATTCAGGTTGCTGCTGAAGGGTTTGAGCTACCTTAGGGTACTCAAAAAGTATATATTATAACTAGAATGAAAGTATCAGCTTCGAATCTGATGGTCACAGTCATGGTGATTCTGTAGTTGGACAACCAAAAACCAAGAATTACTGGCTCATGACAAAATGTGGTTTGACTTAATACAAAGGACATATCCCCAAAAGTGAAAACTACAGAAAACCCAAATGTCACTTTAGTCTGGGAGTTTGGTCATCAAGGGATAAGAGGCATTTAGTGAATGGTGGAGAATGAGCTGCAAGCCACACTAATGCCAGGAAGCTACTCTGTGGCAGAGAACGCCCTCAGGAATACAGATCACCCAGGGTCATTAAGAAAAAGAAGGAGAGAACCTAAAACATAAAAATTATATTTGAAAATCCTGATACTCACCTGAAAAGTCTTTCTTGAGTGATGTTATCTTTTTTAAGTTAGGTTGTTTAGACAGTCTCACTCTGCTTAACTATAGTCAGACTTCCAACACTGCTAACCCTCCAGGACCCCAGGGAGAAAATGAGCCTAGATGAGGATTATGGGGCAGAGGGATCAGAAAGACACTTCTAAAGCTTCCCCTCTAAGCCATTTACCCTTTCTAATCTCACATTTCCTAATAAGTATATTTATTTGGGCATCTGTCCCATAGCCCTCTCTAGAGAAATCATTCTAACCACGGGCCACACCTATCACTGATTCCATCATTCACTAAATCAGTGAATTTATAGATGGATTCCATCTGAGGTGCTCCTCTAAGACTATGAGGCCATACACCCCTCAGGTTAGGAGTGTCCCCCCTATGATTACAGCTGTCTCATTCCAGATGACCCACCTCCATCCCCACCCAGTGATCCCAGTTCCCAGTTCTCATGAATGGGTCAGAGTTAGCCACTATACCTGACCTTCACAGATGGTATTAGAGCAAACATCTGTTCTGCAGCTGAGGTCACATTCAAAGGGAGACTGTCACAAGGAATAAAAATCCTTTGACAGGTCTGTCATGTCACTGATCTTTCTGCACAGAAAGATCAAGTTCTTGTTCCTGAGAAAACAAATATAACTACTTGTGTATAAGCACATGCTTCTATTTTGTGTGTGCCCCTGTGGTGATCAAGGGGCTAAGATGAAATACTCAATGTCTGATTCCTTTAAAATAGGCTATGCAGGTATTATGATGAAATCTTAAAAGATTCCTTATATTTCTATAAGGAACTTTTTGTCAAGAAAAGTGCTTTCAGCACTTAATATATACACTCTAGGAGCACATAACAAAGCTTTTCATTCAAGTTTTAGGTACAGAAGCTTTCACTCAAATGGCAAAATATGGGGTCATTGTAAAGTCATTTGCTTTTTAGAATCAAGAAGCAAAGCAGGGTACTTTGAGTTTTAAAGATATATATCCTGAAAATAAGGACAAGTGCCAGGGGAGTTAGGAATGCCCTGTCTGCCCAGGCCTCAGCGCCAGACTTCTGACTCTGCGCAGTTCATAAGACTTCGTTGTTGCCAGCAGCAATATGAATCTGGGTGGGTGCTTCTCTGAGAGCCAGGGTAAAGAAGGGGACAAATGCATGATTCACCTTTATTTCTTAGTGGTGGGAGCAGTCAGGATTTCCTTATAGATTATTAACCAGGAAATCCCAATTGCCCAGCAGCAAGGGGTTAAAAAACATTCTGAAAAGCGTTTTATGTTCTGAAAAGTTAAATTACACATACATGAAAACCACAAACACATAGCACCTGGGTAAATAAACTGTGGCCAAATAAAGACCAGACTATTTGCAGAAGGGAATCTGGAAAACATTTGTTTTTGGTTGGTTAACATTAGTTACACTTACGCCTTTTTTTCCCCTAAAGAAAACAGTGTGGTTTAGAAGAAATAGGGGGAAAAAACCAGAATTTTAATGTGGCTATTGAAAACAAGATTTCAGTTCATTTACTTTCTAAATCTTAAGGGGCTACCAGGATTGACAGGGGCTGAACTGCAGCAACACTTTTAGTACAGAAGTTGTTAAACAAAGAACATTTCCCAGGCATGGAATGTGCTATGGGATACAGTGAAGAGGTCACTAAACATTGCTTGTCCTCCAAAGCTTGTCCTCCACTGAGACTAAAGCATCAGTGGTAAATGATAGCAGCTCAGATAATTAAGATTTAAAATGCCATCAATTCAAAACGATTGAACTTCACAAGAATCCAAATTTCCTGGTATAATACAATTTGAGCACTCAGGAGGTCATACTACAGAGGAGTTATGTTTAGCATGTTTCTTATCGGTACCTATATGGCTAAGTGGTTCCTTTTCCTTGAAGGAAAAAAATCATCTCGTTATGGCAGAAGTTCTCTACCATTCAGAAGAAAGCTACTAGTTTGAGCCATAAGGAACTGCTAGTTTTGTACATCAAAAACTGTCAGAATCAATAATTTCATATGATTCAATCTAATACTCTTCATTTTTCTAAGCCAGGTCAAATTAGGGTTGACAGTTACTTTTTGTGGAGAGAGAGGAGTGAGGAGTGGGAAATCAAACAGTAAAGCTCTTCTAAAGTTCCGAAAATAAAATGCCTGATCAGAATTTATGTGGTTCCCCGTGGGAACTCCAAAAAACCATTGGGAGTTGTGGACATGAAATGAACGTTACAACTCAGAATTGACCTTTTTGGCCAGGACTGGTGGCCAAGATTTTTTCCTTATCCAAGAGTTTACAACATGGAAACACTGTATATCCAGCATATCCTAAATTGCAAACACAAAGGTAGGAATTAAGAACTGAGTTCTAGCTGGATCCAGTGATTTGTGCAAATCACTTGGGAAGCTGAAGTGGGAGTATTGCTTAAATGCAGGAGTTAGATACCAGCCTGGGCAACAAACATAATAAAACCTTTGGCTCTTAAACAATCAAACCCCTGAATTCTCAGGATACCTCTGTTATTGTCATAGAGATAAATATTTAAAAAGTTACTGGAAAATAGTAACAGTGTATTTTGTTCATATATGTATTAAAGGGAGCAAAAGAAAACCAGGGAAAATTGTTCTTTGATAATTGTTCATTGTCTCTACATTATAGCACCATAATTTTGTTAAAGCAACAAAATTTTTTACTGACTTTTGCATGTTAAAAAAATAAACACAATCTAAGGAATTTTGGTTAGGTAAAGCATTATATCCATATTAGAAAACACTGTCAAAATATCCTGAAGTCTATATAAAAAGGATGCATTACAAATTAATGTGACAGTAAATTGTGAGAATAGAACACACAATTCGTGAAATGATTAGACTGCTCGTAACTACTACTGAGATACTGCTTGGCCCCTGAAAGAGGTAATGCTTGTGCAAAGGCCCCTCAAGCTACATCAGAGCACAAAAGACAACAAAGGAAAGGAAATAAAGTCAATATAAGTTCTGATAGAAACATCTCTTATAAGTTTGGAATTTTTCCTAACTCCTTCTGGGGTAAAAGTTGTTAGAATATTTCACTTTGTGGGAAACTTATCAGCAGCAAAAGTTTTAGCTACTTAAGTGTACAAAGCTCAACATGTAACAAATATAAAGATGCCAAAAGTTAAAGCAATGCAAATTTACATAATAAACCATTTGATACATGCCATTATTAGCTATTACTATATATTCCATCCTATAATCTCATAAATCAAAGCTTTTAACTGCCTAGACTCATATGTGACTGTATTCTTTCCAACATGCATTCTTTCTTCTTCCAGGGGTTGCTCAATAACAGCAGGTATGTTTCTGCCATGAAGTTCACAGTGTTCTAGAAACTGGACACATTCTTGAATAACATTGTCATGAATGACTATCATGTGTTTTGACATGTTTTCTAACAGGGACAGGAAGCATCTTTTGGCATAATACCAGGTATCTGTTCCCAGCTTTTTATTATAAGGCTCCAAACTTTTGATAACTCGAGAAATACCAAACTCATAGTTTCCTTTGGCACAATAAAGAGTTCCTATCACCAAATTCACAATGCAGAGATGGTACATTTTCTTATCTGGGTCATCATAAGAGAGCTGCTCTTCCTCCTTTTCAATCTTCCTCATCAACTCCTCTGCTTCTTCATTTTGACTTGTCATAATATAGGAAACACAGAGATTAGCCAGTACAATAGCACTGACACTCAGGATGTTATCATAATGCTTCTTAACTATGGGTTCATAGAAACCAATGGCTTCTCTGTATTTGTTTTCCTGCATGAACAGAACGTGAGCCACATTCAGCTTCCACACATCATGGTTGTTACAAAATTCTGCAGATTTGCGGAAGATCTTCTCCACCATTGCATAATTTTCAAGGTTCCAGTAGATTTTTGCCTGAGCCATCAACACAGGAATATACTTCTCCAGGGTTTCATCATATTCATTCACTGCCTTTTTGATAGCTTCATCATCTCTATTGTGTCTTGCTTCCTGTACTTGTATGGTGAGTTTCCGGAGGACCTCAGTCAGCATCCCTGCTAGCCCATCAAGCTTAACGAAAGCCTCTTCAGGAGCTGTCTGGCAAGTGATCACAGCATCCAAGAAGTCATAGAGATAGGGTGTGAGGAACTTATAAGTCAAATGGGCATTTTCTGCCAGGACATCTGCTGCAAGGTCAAAATACTCATACTTACAGTAGAGCAGCAACAGGTTGCCAAAAGTCTCTGGAGGAAAGGGATTCTGTTGGAGCAAAAACTGTAGCTTTTCAAACCCTTCTGTAGGTCTGGTATCCATGTTCATTAGTGCCTGGTTGTGCAGAGTCACAGGGTCCAACTCTTCCTCTGCTCTGGGTGGCATGTCAGTGAGGGCTTCTTGAGCTGCCTCATAGTTTCCCAGTTGGTATTCTATTGCTGCCTTAAGGTTGAAGGCTTCCACCAAAGCAGTCTGGTGGAGGACTAGGGTGTTGCCAACACTGCGAACATCAATGCCCTCAGTGGTCTTGCCCACACCTAGCTCAGGGTGCTGGCGGTTGCCATGCTCAATAATCTCAGCGATATGCTTCAGCGCTGAGGCATACTGCCGGCTGCTGTAATAGGCCAAAGCCAGGTTGTAGGCAAGGTCAGGTTGGTAGCCTGAGGCCTGCAGGGCTGCAAAAAACTTGGAGCACGCAGCTTCATACTTTCCCTCCTTGTAGAGCAAACAACCCAGGTTGACCTGGCCATCAGTCTCATTCTCGGCCCCACTATCTTCTCCCCCTTCCCCACTCAGCAGCTGCTCCACCAGGCTCCTGGACCCTGGCAGATCGCCCTCACTGTATTTGATGGCAGCTTGCAGGCGGAGGACCCGGCTGTGGTAGGCGGGGTTATCCAGGAGAAGCAAGGCCACCCGAGTGGCCTCCGGATAAAGGCAGGCCTTGTACAGGGCCTGGGCCTGGTACAGGCGGTAATGCTCCAGTTCCGGGTGCAGCTGGCCCAGCTGCTCATAGCACTCGGCGGCCAGCCTGAACTCCTGCAGGCGGTAATAGCAGTAGCCCAGCAATGACAGGCCGGCGCGGCTCCGCGGGCTCCGCTGCAGCTCTCGGCCCAGCAGCTGCACCGCCTCGGCGTAGCGAGCATCGCGGATGAGCCGGTACACGACCGCTGTGAACTCACCGTCGGGGACTTGCGAGCAGTTTAGGCCCGCCATAACCGCCAAGGCTGTTATGTCTGGGTACCACGGCAACACGCAACCGGAAACGGAAGACTGCCGATTACTTTGCTGCAAGAAATCTGTTAGGAATAAAAAGGGACTATTCTCTTCAGTCTCTGAAGTTCGGTTTGATCTTCAAAGACTCTGGACTGCTGAATGACAGCAGTCAGGTGGGGAAAAGCTACTTCTCGGGGCCGTTCAGAAACCTACCCTCCCCATCCCGGCATGCACCGTTCCAGTTGCGCCGCGGCCTGGGTGATGGCCGCGCTGCATGCTGGGAGGTGTAGTCTCTGCTGTACAGACCAGCCTCGCGGCCCGTGGGAATACAAGGTCATCACTCTTCTCTGCCCTTTAAAAATGAGATGCATTCTCTGTGTGTGTTGTGCCACCTCGGTGTCTGGCGCGACGGAGGAAGGTTTCCGACCCCACGTTCCTGGCGATTTTGAGCCTTGTACACTATACCAATGCTGGCTTTTGGTTTAGTTTTAGTACAAAGACCTGGGTGACAAAAAGCGAGTTATCTTTTTGAATTCCCCTAGAATTAGAGCAGGTTCTTTTCAGGCTACCCCGAGGGCACAGTTTGTAAGAACAGAATAGAGCTCCGAACAGGAATCCTTCATTTGGTGGTTTCCAGAGGTTAATGAGGAAAAGGTGCTGTGAATCTTAATTGGTACTGCGAAAGGTTTGGTTTTAGGTCAAAGTATCTGTCGCTCTTTTTTTTCCATAACAACAAATATTACTATGTATATGTTGGCGTTTACCCTTGGCCATCCCCATTGCGCTAGAGTTCCAACTTTCACTACAGAGTAGAAACGCTGGAGAAATGCATGACCTTAGTCTTTTTCAAGAGGGGAGAATGCAAGACTAAAACGTGCTCCTTTCCCAATGGATTTTTACTATCTTAACTACTAAATTAGTCAGCCAGAGATGTGTGTGTGTGTGTGTGTGTGTGTGTGTGTGTGAGAGAGAGAGAGAGAGAGAGAGAGAGAGAGAGAGAGAGAAAGAGAGAGAGAGAGAGACATGCTCTGGTTGTACTTGTCAGCCTTCTAGGAATTTGGGATATTGAGCTGATAAATATGAATTTTATTCTGTTAGAATAAAAAAAGATTGCCTACACTTTTTCCAGACGCTTAGTTTGAAGATTTCTATGCAGATTTGCTAGACTGTACAAGATATCATTCTGGGTTTTCTTTATTTTATTTTTATTTTTATTTTATTTTTTGAGACGGAGTTTCGCTCTTGTTGCCCAGGCTGGAGTGCAATGGCGCCATCTCGGCTCACCTCACCGCAACCTCCGCCTCCTGGGTTCAGGCAATTCTCCTGCCTCAGCCTCCTGAGTAGCTGGGATTACAGGCAGTCGCCACCATACCCAGCTGATTTTTTGTATTTTTAGTAGAGATGGGGTTTCACCATGTTGACCAGGATGGTCTCGATATCTTGACCTGGTGATCCACCCGCCTCGGCCTCCCAAAGTGCTGGGATTACAGGCTTGAGCCACCGCACCCAGCCTCTGGGTTTTCTTTAATTCTTTGTTATATATTTGGAATAGATGCTGTAGATTCCATGTTATTATCCTGGGGCTATTTTTGTATAATTTTTTTCAATTAAATAATGCCCATGGTGGGGCTGTGGAAAACTAGGGGCTTAATCTATGAAATTATATCTAATCAGTAATTTAAAAAATACCCATAGATTAAACTGACCTGGAGACCACAGACTTTATGGCAGGCAGAATAAATACAATTTTTCAATCAAGAATTAGGAACATAGACAAGATAGCAAAATATGTATTTGGCTATCCCAGTGAAGTACTTGTAAATAGCATAGTTTTCAAGGTAACAATACCAGTTGTAATTCATTAACATCTATCATATGGTGGCCTGGGACAGGGCATTGTCTTCCATGATGTCCATTGGCCTCACTGCCACCCAAGATAAACAGTCCAAGTTAGAGCATGTCTTCACTATGTGATTACATACTTCAATGCAGGTACCTTACTGCCTCTTCAACAGTATTGCTGTCTGTAAATCTTTTCTACATATAAATTTTGGAGCCAACACCGACCATATTTCACTGCATTCTATTAGATGACCTATATATATTATTTTGAACCATAATAACCACCTTGTTTTCTGCATATTACTGTGAACATGTGAATCAGAAAGATTAGGTAACTTGCTCGAGTTCACACAGCTAGATAAGAAGCAGCTGAACCATGAAATTCCAAAGCTAAGTTCTGTAGGTAGTAGTCACTGATGAATTAACTCTGTCACATATGGTCCCAATTATAGGAGAATATTAGTGTCTTGCTTTTTTTATGTTTTTATTTTCCTGTTACAGCAACCAGCCACCTTGGTTTGGGCAGTGGAAATTTGAACTTCTTAGACTAAGTTGTAACTGTGAGCAGGTATTAGGAAGTGATTAGTTGGGGGTGGCCACCTGGCATACCTAAAAAGGAACTTCAGTAGTCATCTGAATGCTATACCATAAAGCAGTTGGCTTCATGTACTCATATATTCTGTCTTGCAGAGAAGTTTGTCATAGTTCTGTCCTTCTAGATGAGAACAGACAAGGAACCTCATACTGCATCAATACCAAGAAAGGGACAAAGTGCACTCATTTTAGAGAGGTTGAGTGTAGCTGTGGACCATGCAAGAACACCAGGGAAAGCAGTTGAGGAAGGCCACTGTAACCCTATTTCAAGGCTTCTTTCTGCCCAATCTCAGCTACAGCCTTATCCAGTTTTCAACTCAGAACTGTTTGTACATTGAAAGATGCTGCCTAGTGCTACTCAATAATCAAGGAGTAGGGGGTGTTCTGCTTAATGGCTGCCTGATTGACACTTATCCCTTGGAAACAATATCCAAAAGGCTTAATATTTAAAAATTCTCAGTCCAGGCACTGTGTCTCATGTCTGTAATCCCAGAGCTTTGGGAGGCTGAGGTGGAGAATCACTTGAGGCCAGGGGTTCAAGACCAGCCCAAGTAACATAGGAAGACCTCATCTCTCCAAAAAAAAAAAAAAAAAAAAAAAGAAAAGAAAAAAAACAAGGCCAGGCATGGAGGTACATATGTGTAACATATGTGTAGTCCCAGCTCAGGAGAATTACTTGAGCCCAAAAATTTGAGGTTCTGGTGAGCCATGATCATACCACTGCACTTTAGCCTGGGTGACAGAGTAAGACTCTGACTCTAAAAAAAAATAAAATAAAATTCTTACATATTGATCTGTTACCTTGGATAAGTTGTCAATGAATTAAGGTAAGAAGACAGAACACGGAAATGGGAAATTGTCTTTCCTATCTTTCACCTTTCTCTCTATTTTGCAGAGTTGTAGTTGCATCATGAAAGCATTCACCTTCAAATGGCTTCTTGAAAATGTATGAAAAGTAAAAGGACTATATTTTCTCCTCCAAATTTCTGGGATCCCTACCAGGATTCAGTTGGGGTTCTCCTCTTTGTGTGGGTACCTGTGAGCATGGCAGCTGGAGTGGGCAAGGGGGAGGCTCTTCTGTGTCTCTTCCTCCTTATTTCATGTGATGCTGCTCCAGAGGCCTGGCTTGAAAAAAAGCAGGACATTTGGCTTAGACAGATGGAGGGCAGGGTCATTTTCAAAATGAAATGAGTGCACAAATCACACTGTGAAATTGGCATGACCATCACTGCTGCTGCGATAGACCAACTTTTATTTGGTCTCTGATAAGCATATGGGGAATAGATTAGTTTTTTGGGTGGTAGAGGAGGGAAAGGAGGCCCTTTAATTAATGATAGAAATTCTGGAAAGCAATAAACAGGGTAGAATATCATAAAGTATCTTTTTTGCTTATAACAAAATCTTGAAAAGCTGGAGCGTATATCAAAAAGTAAGTCTGTAGTACCACTCCCAGCAGTAAGAAAGCATTTGGTGTTTACAATAAAATGATTTAGCGCCTTATCGAAAGGAATTTAGCTTTCAGGAAATAGTTTAGGACTTACAGTAGATTTTGCTGAATAAGCAGAGGTATGTTCACCGTGTAGAAGAATTCCATTTAAGTAAAATGTATAGGAGCAAAAAGCATGTTTGGCTCTTAAGATGTTTGTGTTTCTGCCTGCCAAAATAGGCATGTATATTCTATTTGGCAGTCTCATTGGAAGTGATTGTTTCACGAAAATAACTGCTTCTTGTTGGTAAACATTGTTTATTTATGAGTATTTCAACCGCAACTGTGGACAAACATCTTTCTTAATAAAGGAAAGTGGTTTCTGCAAAACCACTTTCTACTTGTTATTTCTGTCTCCCATTCATTCCAGGGCATTTTCTTTAGGCATTTCAGTTATGGGATTTAACTTTTTTCTCTGGTAGTTCCAGCTCTGTTAATATTTTAAATAGTAATATATTTTCTTCTTAAATATGCCTTGCTTTTGAGAAATGGTTTTTATTTCTGGGTTTATAGTATTGCTATGGTTTGAATATGGTTTTTTTCCCACCAAATCTCACAATTTGATTACTAGCACTTTGGTGCTGGGAGGTGTTTGGGTCCTTGGGGTGGATCCCTCATGAATGGCTTGGTGCCATTCCAGTAGTAGTGATAGTTATTGCTCTCATGAGACCAGATTAGTTTTCGTGGAAATGGATTAGTTCCCACAAGAGTGGGTTGTTACAAGGCAAGATGCCCTTGGGTTTTGCCCCTTTACATATGTCCGCTTTCTCTTTGACCTTCTTTCATGTTACGATACAGCACAAACACCCTTACCAGAAGCTAAGCAGATGCTGGCACCTCGCTTCTTGTACTTCTCAGCCTGCAGAACCATCAACCAACTAAACCCCCTTTTTTTTGTAAATTACCGTCTTGGGTATTTATTCTATTAGAGTAACACAAAATGGACCAACACAGAAAATTGGTTCCAAGGAGTAGGATTTGCTCTGTGGATACCTAAAAATGTGGAATCTACTTTGGAACTATGTAATGGGCAATGGTTGAATGAATCTGGAGGAGGAGCAGTCTGGAAAGAGATTGTATGCAATGAACAGCGCATTAAGGTCAGTTCTGGTGAGGGCTTAGAAAAAGACGAAAAGATGAGGGAAAATTTGGAAGTTTTTTGAGATTGTTTAAGTGATTGTGATGAATATGCTGATAGAAATATGGACAGTAAAGGCCATGCTAATGAGATCTCAGATGGAAGTGAAGAATATCTTATTGAAAAATTGAAGTAAAGTCCATCGTTGTTACATAGTTGCAAAGAAATTGGCTGCAGTATGTCTTCTACTCCCTAGAGATTTATGGAAGGCAGCACTTAAGGGTGATGAACTTTTGTATCTGGTGGAAGAAATTTCTAAGAATAACATCACTCAAGAAGTGATGTTGTTACTTTTAATAGCTTATGCTCAGTTACAGCACAGCAAAGTAATAATCTAAAGGCAGAATTTATAGTTAGAAGGGAAGCAGAGTATAAAAGTTTGAAAAATTTGCAGCCCAACCATGCACAATGAAAGAGTGTTTTTAAGAGAACAATTCAAGGGTACAGTCAAGAGACTACTTGCTGAAAAGATTAGTATGGATAAAAGGGAGCCAAGTGCTGTGCATCAGGACACTGGAGAAAAGGCCCAGCGGCCTAAGAGGGCAGAATGGTTTTGAGGAACAAGCCTGGGGTGTTTTCTGTGAAACTGCTTCCCAGGGCCACTTCAGGCCACTGTTCTTGCATCCTGGTGGCTCAAGCAGCCCCAGGTGTTACTTGTGCTGTCACTCCAGAGAGTCCAAGCTGTAAGCTTTGGCAGCATCCACATCTAAATGGTGCTAATTTTGTAGGCATGTAGAATATAAGAGTGGTGGAGGCATGGCAGCTCCCACCTAGATTTCAGAGGATGTATCAGAACACCTTGGAGCCCAGGCCGACTTGTCAAAGGGGCACAGGCACTGCAGAGAGCCTCTGCTAAAACAATGTGAGCAGAAATGTATAATCAAAGCTGCCATAGAGAGTCCCTATAAGGGCAGTGGAGGTTGAGGGATTGGGGCTGCCTTTGGGACCCTAAGACTACAGAGCCATTGACAATGTGCAATGTCTGCCTGAAAAAGCTATGGGCATTTGACTTTAACTGTGAGAACAGCCATGTGTACTGCACCCAGTAAAGCAACTGGGGCAGGGCTGCCCAAGGCTTTGAGAACCCACCCCTCACATCAGTGTGCCCAGAAGATGGCACATGGTGTGAAAGATTATGCAGGAGCCTTAAGATTTAATGTCTCCCCTGCTGGGTTTCAGACTTGCATGGGGTCTCTCATTCCTTTCTTTTGGCCTATGTCTCCTTTTTCAAGTGGGATTGTTTACCAAATGTCCATTGCATCTTGAAAGTAAATAACTTGGTTCTCATTTTACAGGCTTACAGCTGGAAGAAACTTGCTTTGAGTCTTAGATGAGACTTTAGACTTTTAAGTTGTTGCTGGAACAAGTTAAGACTTTTGGCGCTATTGGAAGGGAATGACTGTATTTTGTATGTGAGAAGCACATGAATTTTTTGAGGCTAAAGGCAGAACACTATGTTTGCATATGGTTCATCCTCATCAAAACTCATGTTGAAATGTTATTGCCAGTGCTGCAGTATAGGGAGACGGAGCCTAGGGGAGCTGTTTGGGTCATGGGAGTAGACCCCTCATGAATGGCTTGGTGCTGTTCTCGCAGTGGTGAGCTTTTGCTCTTGTGAGACTGTATTAGTTCTCATGGAAATGGATTAGTTCCCATGAGAGTGGTTGCTATAAAGCAAGATGCCCTTGGGTTTTGCCCCTTTGCACGTGCCTGCTTCCCCTTTGACCTTCCGCCATGCTATGATGCAGCATAAAAGTCCTCACCAGAAGCCAAGCTGATGCTGGTGCCATGCTTCTTGTACTTCCCAGCCTGCAGAACCATGAGCTAAATAAACTTTTTTTATAAATTACCCAATCTGATCTATTCTGCTGTAGCAACACAAAATGGACTAAGACAGGTGCTATTATACAAATTAATTTATTAGGCAGAACACAATAACATGATTTATAAAAAGGAGTTAGCAGAGAAGACAGTTTTGGGAACTACCACTATTTATTTATTCCTCAGAGACGGAGTGTGCTATGGGATACACTGATGGGGATGTTACACAAATTACTTTATTTTAGCATGTTTCACTGCTTTCACTCCCAACATGTAAGCAATATTGAAGTATCATGTCTTTCCTCCAGACTGGAACCTTTCATGGTCAGAGATATCCTGTTAATACCTGTTTTTATTTCTGCAATGTAGCCATGAAAATAATAAATTGGATAAGAAGGGTCTTTGAGGCCCATGGTCAAAAGATAAGATTTCTAAAAGAAAAATGTCATCAGCCGGTAGGAACACCTATTCTGGCTTGCAAAGTGTTCAAACTGTTTTTCCCATGGCATCAGACAGCCATCCAAAATGCCTCTGATGGCCAGCTATCCAGTTGTCTGAAATGACACAAATTTTCATTTGACTATTGCCTAAGATATTACAGGCCTGGTCAGATTTATCTTTAAGTCCTGAGCAGTGACAATATGTACAATTGTCCTATTGGATTATGCTTTAAATTTTCTTGCTAAGATTAATGCAGTATATACAATTAGCTTTCCTTAGACCACACCAGCCTTATGAACAATTAAAAACCGGATGACAATTGCCATGGTGTTTGAGCAGCAACTTAAATATTGCACTCTTTTTTTGAGGCTTTCTCTGTGGAGAGTTATGGAGCACATTTCCTGGGTGTGTTAGGCCATTCTTGCTCTCATGGCTAGAGTGGGAGCAAGAGAGAGAGAGGGAGGAAGTGCCACATAGTTTTTAAAAAATGAGATCTTGAAGGAACTCAGAGTGGTAACTCACTTATCACCAAGGGCATAGGACTAAGCCATTCATGAGGGATCCACCTCCAGGATACAGACACCTCTCACCACACCTCACCTCCAACACTGGGGATTATATTTTAACATGAGATTTGGAGGGGACAAACATTCAAATAACATCGCTGTGGCTGTGCTGGTGGACT